AAACCTGCACAAAAAAAGAAAAAACTAACTAAGGCACTGAATATTGAGAAAATTCCAGCCATTCTTGGAGGGCCAAGTTGATGGTATGAAACTCAGATCTCCAAACATTCTCAAAAAGCCATAGGTTCCTTGTTTTCCACATCCACCATAGGAGGTAGCAGGTCAGTTGGATTCTATCTTCAGCCACTGGATTGTAATTGATTGAGCAAATCTTTGTCCACCAGTGTTTAAAACTTGTTGTCTCAGACTGAATCCCTTCCCATGACACAGGTGCTAACTTCCATATGGTTTTGGATCTGCTGCAGTTAAAAAACAGGTGTTCCATTGTCTCTTCATGCTCACCGCAAAGCTTGCAGATTGTGTCCATTGATAAACCTCTCTTTTGCAGATTAGTTAGAACAGGGAGTATGTTGTTCAGACACTTCCAGATAAAGTGTCTGATTTTGGTCTTCACCTTGAGTCTCCAGGTTCTCATTCTTGTCCTTTTTATCTCTGTATGATCTGAGCTTGAGCATGCTATATCCATCTGTCTCCAATGATTTTCAATAAGTTTTGTATAGGTTGAGGCCACAGAAAATTTTCCTTGGGCAGTCCATTCCCATCTGAGCTTGTCTGTTCCATTAGGGTCTAGACCTTCAAGCTTCATAATTGCTTCAGCTTCTTCACTTGTGAAACATTGCTGAATGAGGTTCTTGTTCCATCTCCTACCTGTGATGTCAACTAGGTCACTCACCCAGGCCAGTTCAGAGTTCCTTGGCTGTTTCCCTTTTGGCTTCAAGTCTGGTATACCTGGGACCCATGGGTGGTTCCAGATGTGGACATTTCTTCCATTCCTGACTTGGTATCTCAGTCCCTTCAAAAATGAATCTTTCATGCTCCACCAACTAGTCCATAGCCAGGAGCTGTTGCTTTTCCTCTTTGCTACATGCAGGCTGTCATGTGGGAAGTATTTTCCTTTTAGTATCCTGCTTACCATTAGGTGAGGCTGTGAGATCACTCTCCACAGTTGTTTTGAGATCAAGGCTTTGTTAAAAGTGTGATATTCAAGTATATTGTGAAAGTATGATATTCAAGTATAAAAGTATGCATATTTACTAAAATAATATGATTGCCTAAACACCAGCTTTCCTTTATCGTTATTTTGTTTCTGGCATCATATTTTTCTAAGATAAGTGACACGAACATATTTATGTCCCCATAGATATTATTGTCACCCTAACAAATCCTTATTAATCTGTACAAAGTTACAAACTACAATCTTTGAGTCCCATTTATTAAACTTTGAAAATAACATTTCCCCTAATCCTGCAAATTAATCCACATATTTTATTTCAATTTCAATATACAGCAATGGCCCCTCAATTTACGTATTTAAATTGGACATTTCCCACAAGATCACTTTCATAGTAAAGGAAAGATGCAAATGAAAATATTTGGAGTGGGTATGTGTGCTAATAAATCTCCAACAATTTTTACCGTTGGGTCAATAATAAATCGTATGAATACATGTGTCTTGGTCCAACGGTAAAAATCGGTGACAACACTAGTGTCGAATCTTCTCTCCCGACATATCAACTGATGACCACATTAATCCGTATCCACTGTGCAAAACTGCCCTTTTTATATAATTTTATTAATTTAGAGTTTCATTTATTTACAATTATTAATAAAAGGTTAAGGTAGCGATTAGAAATAAAATTAATCTAGTTTTGAGTGGTTGGATAATATTTTTACAACTTTTTATCTCTAAAATCCAACTAAATTAATCAAACTCAACTCTCTTCAATGTTCTCAATATAATTAAATAACATCAATTAACCATGATCACACATCATATCAATTTTATTTCACTCACATAATTTTAACTAGTCATGACTTTCAATCACATCTCGCTTACTTACGTTTACACCAAATCAATTTTAATCAATACATTTTAAATATTATTTTAAACACAAACTCAAAATCTCCACTCAACCAACTTTATTCAAAATTAACTCACTTTATTTGACAAATTACATCCAATCCAAAATATAATTTATTTTCAATCGTAGTGTCAAATTAATATCTTCATTGGTGAATTGATATTTTGATATGAAATTTTGCAAAATATATCAGATCATAGACACAAAGAGCACTATTGGATATAAATAAAACCGGATTTGATCGAATATAAGAGCATCTATAATGTTTTAGGTCTAATTGTGCTTACGTGGCGTGTAAATAGACATAAGTCTTGAATGATGTGGACAAAAATATATAAAAGTATCAAATTTAACTCCAATGTAAAGAGACTAGGTCTCAACTTGGGTCTAAAATAGACTTAAGTACCGGGTCTCTTTTTTTTGCTTCCACATAAGCACGACTCAGTCTTCTTACACTTGCATTGGAGTACTTATTTTTCTTGATTGAGTCTATTTCTTCCGTGACATGTGTATTTTTTTGAATAAACCCAAAGCATTGTGGGTGCTCTAATTGATAGCCAATGGCGTCCAAATGAGTTTCTGGCCTTCCCATGTATGTGTCCTTTTATTTGTCATTATTTCTATCTACTAAAATTTTATTTAAAAAATAAATGAATCCTGATATGTCGATTTTGAAATTTTTTACCAACCTATTTTCTGAACATCCGTTATACCGTTCTTTGAGACTAGCCAAGTATCATCATGTACACGAAAAAAATTGTGATACCAAGACTCGTGCATAATTTCATCATGTCAATTTGTTTGAACGTTACGGTAATTTTACCCGTCATGGAATAGTAAGAAGCAAGCAAAATTGTGGGTCCCAGCCAGTGAAGTAAAATGATGCAGTTTAGAAAAGCGAGTTCAAATTGTCAAGAAAAAAATTAATCTCAAAAGCACAGATCAAATTAGCTTAACTGTCAACTCACAAACTCACATTTAACCCGCAATTAGGCCAAATCTGGGACAGCTGAAAGTATAAACTGTACATTACACGTAACCTGAATCCAATGTGGAATCTTGTTACCATGTTGCTTGGTTTTGTTATTAAGAAAAATAAAAAAATAAAAATAGAGACACCATGTTAACTTCATTTTTATTGATTAGCATGCACTGGATAACAAAACATTCATTCAACTATGAACACGCACAATGTTAAAGACCTAGTGAGAGTGCAAAACTCAAAAATATCGCTCTGTTAAAGAAAATTGCACTTATGTTCCTAAAGAATGGTAGCGAAACACTTCACTATTTACCGCCTCTTTTCTTTTTCCGTGAAAACACACGAGGCTCCCTTGAGACCTCATGAAATAGGTCATTTCACTCAAAACAACCTAACACAAACATTTGTGCCTTCTCATAATATTGTAATAATAGGTGAAGGATATTCTAATTTATCTCCAAATTGAACAAAACCCTCGAAGATATAACCTTTGTAAATCAGAGTAATGATAAAACTTAGAAATATGCAGAAACAACCAACATGTCCACCATCACAACATAATAAAAACAGCCAGATTTCAAGTATATAAGTTGTTAAATAGCCGGAGTTCAAATATATAAGCAAACCAACGGCAATGCTCCAGAAANAAAAAAAAAAAAAAAAAAAAGTCTACACACCCATGCTACAAAGTTCAGTTGCACTAGATAATTCGATAAAACTCTCATTCCTGGGGGCTGGCTGATAAAACGAAAGAAGTTGTTTAAGAGCGGAGCATATTCAAACTCTCTCTGAACTTTTACATGGAGATCTCACTTGTAGAATTCAAAATCTGTGTCGGGTTTCTTCACGTTGGACCTGTAACCCTTCTCGAAATCTTTGGGGAGTATTACATAACGGTTCTTCCTAACTGCAAGCATACCTGCTTCCTGGCATATCGCCGCAATCTGAAATGAAAAAAAACAAACTAATGGTTAATGGAGACACGGAAATGAGGTTCACACAGTTACACCCTAAAAACAACTATAAATAAACAAGCAGGTTTGGCCCTTCGCGGAAACATTACACACTGACAATCACTAACCTCAGCAGCACTAATTTTGTCTGGACGAGAGACATAGTCCTCCAAATCCACCTCATCACTCAAGTTCATTTTAGCAGTGCAAACCTGCACATGAAACCATTTCCATTTATGATATGTTCAACGAAAAAAGGATATTAAAATAATATCCCCAGTTAATTTTCCCTTAATGAGATGCCTCTTTTTACTTTTTTTTTTTTTATTTTTTTTTATTTTTTATTTTCCTCTTTGGTTGTGTTTCTTTTCCTCTTTCTAGAGATGGAAGTCATTTGCAAGATTGAGTTGAACTGCATTTTGAAAGACTTGCTTTCATTTTGTTCAAAACCACATCCACACACCAATCCGCAGTAAATTGCAGAAACAAAAAAGAGAATAAAGTGGGGGAGAAAAAGAAGAGTGGAATCTATATGGTGAGAGAATATACGAGTAGCTTCACCTGAAAGACAAGTCTCTTTTGACGCCTATCTGGCAACGGGAACTCAATCTTACGATCAAGTCTTCCAGGACGGAGAAGAGCAGGATCCAAAGTGTCGGCCCTATTTGTTGCCATGATAACCTTCACATTAACTGTCTGGTCAAATCCATCCATCTGCAGAAGGCAAATAAAATAAATCACTCCAATGTAAATAATACTGGATGACCGCCATTTAATGCAAGGCCAGTAGATGAATGGAATCAGAAAGAATCAGTAACGAGTACCCACACGTCAACAGGGATTTATCAGAGATCAGTATTGAAGTTTACAACTCTACCTGATTAAGCAATTCCATGAGAATTCTCTGAACCTCTCTGTCAGCTCCAGTTTGAGCATCAAACCTAGCAGTAGCAATCGCATCTACCTCATCAATGAAAATAATGGCAGGTGCATTTTCTTTTGCGAGACGGAAAACATCACGGACCATTCGAGGACCCTACACATATTGTTAAAGTGAAGTTAGAGCATGACAAAATCGACTTACATTCCTGTCATGGTAAGGCCATAACAACAGCTACAGAATCTTCAACCAACATAACTACCCTTTGGACCAATTGTAGGGGCAGCAAAGGTTGACACAAATGATATAAGGCTCAACACGACTATATGCAATTATGCATGTACTATGAAAAGAGAAATGACACGATAGACACAGCCCAGGTGAGCGCAAAGTTGTAATCTAGTTACTTAAACATATAAGATTGATTAAAAAAATAACCACACAACATAAAACATGGAAGACCAACAAACTGATACAATGAAATCTAATCTAGCATGAAATTTTATAAGCATGAAATTCACTAGTCTTAAAATAATAAAATCACACATCAAAATTATGGTTTGGGGTATAATGGGTGGTGCTTAGGTTCAATCAGTAACCATATACAACAACAACAACAACAACATACCCAGTATATTCCCAAACAGGTTGGGGTCTGGGGGTCAGTTGTGCGCAAACCTTACCCTTGTAATTATACAAGGAGGCTGTTTTCGTAGCGACCCAAGGTGCATTGCGCCGTTTGATATATTTTTGTTTTTTCTAGAAACTTCACTAATAGAAGAAGTACTAGAATTTAATTGAGCCATTTTGATCTAGTCCATTATTAGCACTATGCCAGGAGAATTGTCAACAATGACTCTTCCAGCTCCATTTGCAATGAACAAATCAATCAGTAACCATATAGTAACCATATACAGTGAGAAATTTCTCCTTTCCTAAAAAGTTGTTCTTTCCTTTTCTTTCTATCCCAGCACGGATGGTGAGGGCTGCAGTCCTGTGCAGTCTATTTTTATAAGGTCATGCGATGATGCGAAGTATTAACTTACAGTTGAACAAAAAAGTGATGACTCAAGCGGAACTACAAACAAATTACGCATATTACATATAAGAATTATCACCTTTCGATCCATACGTATAATCAAAGAGCTATTAACATACCTCTCCCAAATACTTCTGAACGAACTCTGAACCAACAACTCTAATAAAGGCTGCAGTAGTGTGATGGGCGACAGCTTTTGCAAGCATTGTTTTCCCTGTGCCAGGTGGACCATAGAGTAAGACACCGCGAGGAGGATCTATGCCGATCTGTTGGTACAGCTCATGATGAGTTAAGGGCAACTCCACAGCTTCTCGTATTTCTTGCTTTTGAATGTCACATCCTCCAATATCCTGATAGAAGCACAAAGAGAGAACAAAAACTAGTGTTAAAATTTATAGAGAAACAAATTCATTGCTGATCATGAACTCATATCAAGTGGATGCATAAAATCATGATAATATTAGGAACAAAAACAGTGAGATACAATCCATGTGAAAGCAATCCTGCGCAAAAACATGATATATGAGGCAACAAGCAAACTTAAGATTTACTCAATTCACTAGACCAACAATTCCCTTCAAATTCTTGATGCATCGCAACACAAATTGGACAATTCCAAACTGAGAAAGTTCAATGGTACAAGGAAATTGGAGACAATTATCCGTGTATATAAGAAAATTGTTAGCACGAGGATATGAAATAAGATTTAAGGATCAGTGTGTACTAAAATTTACCATTTCCGTGAAAGAAAGCAAACCCTAGTTCAATAGTCCTAAAAAACAAATTGAACGAAAATACGTGTGAACAAAACCTAGTCAAGTAATCACCTAAACAAATGAACAACGATTAAAACTCACATTGTAAGTAACATCGGGCTTCTCCGACTGGCTGAGGAGCGAGATGCTGGAGTCGGCCTCAGGCGGGAGAACATCAACAAGGGCGTTCGAGTGACGGTGAAGCGCAACGGAGGCGGAGGGCTTGAGGAGCTCGCGGTTGATTGTGCTCAGGATCCGAACATAGTAATTCGAACCGGTTGTGGACCCGACTATGGCGTTGTTCTGATCTATCATCTCCATGAACTGGCCGATGACCAGCGGGACTGACTGGATCCTCTTCACCTCCTCCTGCGACCGCAGAAGCTCGCGCCGGAGGTTCTTCAGCTCGTCCTTAACGTACTCCTCCTGTATCTCGATGAACTCGAGCTGGCGCTGCAGCGATTTGAGGCGGGAGTAGAGATCGTCTTCGGCGTCCGCGGCGGCTGCGGACGGGTCGATTTCAAGCTTTTGGCGCGTCGGTGGTGGTTCGGATGGGAGGGGCTTCGGATCGAGAGCCATGGCTGTGGCGGCTGCCATTGCCGGTGATATTATGGTGGTGGATGAGGTGAAAAGGGGGTGCGTGAGCTGTATGGAGTAATTTGGGAAGATAGGGTTTTTATCAATTTGTGAGAAGCCTTGTGGAGAGAGTAAAGGTGCGTTTGGTAAAAATACGAGAACCAGAAGATTAGTACAAGAACTTGAAGTGAACGACTGATCGCGAAACAAATTTGTTGTAAAATCGGGAGCAATTTTGCAATATGAACAATCATTTGGGATTAAATTAAAAATTTCTCCCAACAATTTATTAGTTTTAATATTATTTCAAATTTCAATTTGATTTTCAGAATTTTGTTTTCGACAATTACTTAATATCTTATCATGTTTTTTTTAATAATACATTATTTCAACAATATTATCTCACGTTTTGATATTATATTAATATATACAATTAAATTATGATACACCATTTTTTAAATAAATTCAAAATGTACTGATAACATTATTTATTTATTTATAATTGTAGAGGTTAATAAAAATAAATAAATGACTAATATTGTTACGAAAGTCAGATTGAACCGGCTGATTGAACTAGAAATCGGTCAACTGATCGTTTATTTCGCTAGAATGAACTAGTGGTCACTGAATCGACAACTGATTATTAACTGATTTGACCAAAATCGACCAATAACCAGTTGGTCCGGTCGGTCAATTTTATCACTTTTAAAAAAATAAGTAAATTAGTTTTAAAATATTTAAATAAATTTTAGTATAATAAATTCAAATATATTGGATATGTATACATTAGCATATCAAATTTGTATAATATATGTTAAAATTAATTGTATATAAATTAAATGTATTATTTAATTAATAATGACAGAACTGATTCAACTACTGATCCAACTAGTGAACCATTAAACCAGTATTTTGTTCGGTTTAATGGCCGGTCGAATTCTAAAATCATTGTTTGTTATAAAATATAAATTACTTATCAAAAGTATTATAATATATTTTTTTTCACCGTATCATACCGAGAAATGTTATTTGACAATTTTATTCTATTAATAATTACAAACAATTTCTATTCAATACTTTATCTATCCCAAACTATTTCCTATTTATTAATTCATCCATACATAATTAATTTTTAGATTCAAGAACTATTTTAGCAATTTGTTATTTATTCTTTTTTTTTTTTTTT